ATAACGATCACATTAATTAAAGGCCCAACAGAATGAACAAGCAACACTCTCTACTCATCCTAGCTAGCTTTTTAATCGTATAAAATCCATGTTATTCATACACATATCCTAAATTTTTTAACTTTATTTACTTTGCATACCTGAGTGTAAATACATGTGTTCAGGCTTGCAACTCATAGGAATCACTTTTCTCCTTGCACCACGTTGGCTCTGGAGATTAAACTCAGGTAGTGACCTAGGTGGCAGGAACATCTACCTGCTCAGTCAATTTGCTAGCCCAGCCAGGAATAACAAATAAATAATAACAAATAAAACAGACTACTGAACCTTAGATCTCTCTCTCTCTCTCTCTCTCTCTCTCTCTCTCTCTCTCCTTAATATTTGATTAAAAAAGAATTTTAAAGTCATAATACCCACTTCAGAAAGTTATAGATGGTAAGTTTGACTCAGATAAAAACACTTCAAGTACTCCAAATAAATCAGCAAACTAAAAACAACTTGATTATAATGCTTTCATGTGCTTTAAAAATCTAGCTTTGTTCTAATGGGTTAAATAAAAGTTTATCCTAAAATTTTGCTATTCAAACTCTACCACTTGTGTTTTGCTGTGTCTTCAACCTTCATTTGATGGAAATTAACTTTGTCCTCAAGTCAGACAAAAACTGAGTTTAATAACATGGCATGCTGCATTACAGGCCACTAAATTAAAATCAAATTAATACTTTATCCTCAAGTAACTCTAACCTTAATCCATGAGCTTTCCTTGCAAGAGATTTATTAAAAGACCTAGGAGTTGGATTGATTTAATTTATCTTTGCTTTATTAAGTTTACAAGTCAACACAGTTTTGAAATTCTCCAGGATTCTTACCTGTGATGTAAAAGGATGCAATGTTGTTGATAGAATTGAAGTATAAACCCTTTAAAGTCAAATATTGGCCAATGGGAATTATGAACAGTTAGATCTCACACAGGCATAAAGAATGAAACCAAAGAGCATGAAGATGATTGACAAAGGGATAAGAAAGTTATGTTAACTGAGTTGAGTGCCTCTTACATTTCAGATGGCATTTAGACCCTTCTGTTGATAAATTTATATGAAATGATGGCAATTAACAGAGGCCTAGAAACAAAGCAAAATTACACGATAAATGCCACCCAACTTTGAACCCAAGACTTCCCAACTTCCGAAGGTATGCTTTGTGGGAAAAAGAGGAGGAGGAAAGAGAGGAGGTGGGGGGGCAGACCAAGAGGTTTTGTAAATGTAAGCACAGTGATACAAACCTGTCATCCCAGTACTCAGGAGGCTGAGACAGGAGGATGACTATAAAGCCAGACTGGACTGCACAAAGAGCCCATGATTGGAAAAAGATTTTTTTTTTAAGGAAAAGCTTACGAAGCACAGCTGGATCCAGCTGAATGGCTGCTGCTAATCTCAGCTGGAGAACCTGAAGTCAGATGTACACTCTGGGGAGGGAAGGCTCACTATGGGGTGCTGTTGTGTAGTTCTCTAAGACCCATGTACCTCATCTGCAGACAGCAGTGCTATACATCTAAACAGTTGTGGAAGCCTGGGCCATGCCTGTCACCCACCAATTTTAGCTATGCTCAAAGGACATGAACATTCCAGGCACATGCACAGAATCTCATCCTGCCACAGATAAATGTGCAAGATCTTGCAATGAGAAAAGGCTATGAATGGCCTCATAAGTTACTCATCTTTACCAGCGCTCTAAAGTGGCTTGTTTACAAAGAGGTTGCTGGCTATTTGTAATAGCCAGAACCTGGAAGCAGCCTAGATGCTCCTCAACCGAAGAATGGATAGAGAAAATGTGGTGCATTTACACAATGGAGTACTACTCAGCAGAAA